ACTCTGTCTAAAAAAAAAAAAAAAAAAAGAGGCCGGGCGCGGTGGCTCAAGCCTGTAATCCCAGCACTTTGGGAGGCCGAGGCGGGTGGATCACGAGGTCAAGAGATCGAGACCATCCTGGTCAACATGGTGAAACCCTGTCTCTACTAAAAATACAAAAAAAAATTAGCTGGGCATGGTGGTGCGTGCCTGTAATCCCAGCTACTCAGGAGGCTGAGGCAGGAGAATTGCCTGAACCCAGGAGGCGGAGGTTGCGGTGAGCCGAGATCGCGCCATTGCACTCCAGCCTGGGTAACATGAGTAAAACTCCGTCTCAAAAAAAAAAAAAGAAAGTACCATAGTAGGTCTCTTCTAAGAGCTCCTGGGGAAGCACAGAGAGGAAACTATTTTAAAAAAACACAAGGTGCTTCTATCCCAGCGCAAGTCCCACTCCTCAGCACAGCAGCTCAGCTTCTCTCCTCCCACACCCCAAACCTAGTTCTGCTGCTCTCTTCTTGCTCTGTCACCAGGCTGGAGTGCAATGGTGCGATCTAAGCCCACTGTAACCTCCGCCTCCTGGGTTCAAGTGATTCTCCTGCCTCAGCCTCCTGAGTAGCTGGGACTATAGGCGTGCACCACCATGCCCAGGTCATTTTTGTATTTTTGGTAGAGATGGAGTTTCACCATGTTGGCTGGGCTGGTCTTGAACTCCTGACCTCAAGTGATCCGCCCGCCTGGGCCTCCCAAAGTGCTGGGATTACAGGTGTGAGCCACCATGCCCTGCCTTCATCTTTTCTTATTCAAAGAAATTTGACCTACTCTGGGTTTTGCTCTGCCTCACCTCTCTTGAAACAGCATTCGAACAGGCCAGCTGCCATCCTTCCTCCTTGGCAGGAGAAAGAAGACAAAAGTGACAAATACTTAGCATGTAACTCTTTTTCCCTTTATCCCTGTTACACAAGGTTGCAATTATCCCCTGTTTGCAGATGAGGAAATGGCGGCACTCACTAGTTTAGGGCACACTGCTAGGGAATGGAGAAATTACAATACAAGCCCAGAGCTGTCAGACTCCTGGTCAATGTCCTATGCCATCTGTCCCCACTCTCTGATGATAAACCTCCTACCGATGGCTGATGACTAAACCAATCCGCATTAATTTAACCTGCTACCTTTAGAGCTCTTGGATTACTCCACCCCAAGGAAATTGTTTATTAACCAGGAGACAAAGGCTTGACCCAAGAAGTGACTCAGGATCTCAAATGCAAATTTCTCAACCTGGACTTCAAGGCTCAGCAGGGCATGCTTAGCCTCCTCTCCTGTCACCTTCCAGTTCTGACAAGGTGAGCCTGTTCTCCAACTCATCCCAGCTCAGCTGTCCACCCAGCCCATGGCCAGGCCCTCCCCACTGCTAAGCAGGCTCCCCTCCCTCTTTTAAAATCACAACGAAATATATATACAGGTATTGATCGACTTACGACCTATGCAACTTACGACCATTCGACTTTACGACCACAATCGCTAGCCACGACTGCTCCGCGTCTGGCAGCGCAAACGTTGCCCAGCTGGGCGTACAACAGTGTGGACCAGCTTCCGGCAGCACTACCATCTCCGCGTGCATATAGCCTACTCAACTTACGACCAAATCGTGTTACGACCGGTATGTCGGAACCAATCGTGGTCGTAAGTCGAGCACTAGCTGTAATATAAACTGTACTGGACGGGTGCGGTGGCTCACGCCTGTAATCCCAGCATTTTTGGAGGCTGAGTCGGGCGGATCACCTAATACAAAATTAGCTGGGCGTGATGACGCGTGCCTGTAATCCCAGCTACTCGGGAGGCTGAGGCAGGAGAATGAATTGAACCTGGGAGGCAGAGGTTGCAGTGAGCCGAGATTTTGACATTGCCCTTCAGCCTGGACAGCAAGAGAGAAATTCCATCTCAAAACAAAAACAAAAACACTGGGTGCAGTGGCTCACTTTGAGGGGCCAAGGCGGGTGGATCACCTGAGGTCAGGAGTTCAAGACTAGCCTGGCCAACATGGTAAAACCCCGTCTCTACTAACAATAAAAAAAAATTAGCTGGGCATGGTGGCACATGCCTGTAATCCCAGCTACTTGGGAGGCTGAGGCAGGAGAATCGCTTGAACCCAGGAGGCGGAGGTTTCGGTGAGCCGAGATTGCAACATTGCACTCCAGCCAGGGCAACAAGAGTGAAACTCCATCTCAGAAAGAAAAAAAAAAAGAAACTCCATCTCAAAAAAAAAAAAAAAAAATGAGCATACGAATATCTGTTTGAGTTCCTGCTTCCAATTATTTGGGGTATATAACCAGAAACGGAATTGTTGGATCATATGGTAACTGTTTGATTTTCTGAGGAACCACCATGCTGTTTACTACAGCTGCTGCTCCACTCTCAAGCTCATCCCGCGGTCCTCCGACATCGTCTACATTAGCTGTCACACTTTAAAATGTGACAGTAGGGCCAGACGCAGTGGCTTATGCCTGTAACCCCAGCACTTTGGGAGGCTGAGGCGGGCAGATCACCTGAGGTCGGGAGTTCAAGACCAGCCTGACCAACATGGAGAAACCCGATTGTAAAAAAAAAAAAGAAAAGAAAAAGTGACACTGAACTCATTTTTCCTAACCCAAGGGTCTGGAGGAGGCTCAATGGTGATGTGCCATGGGGCAGGTTTTGACCTGGTCCATTTCAGTATTTGTGCTGGAAATTCTAATAAAAGCATGTAGGTCTACTAATCAAATATAAAGATGTTACAAGATAAGAGGTCTGCCATTTGCAGAATGAAGATTTTAAAATACTGTGACAGGCCAGAGTGACAGAGCTATAAAAGTAGCTTCTTGGCGGGGTGTGGTGGCTCACGTCTGTAATCCAAGCACTTTGGAGGCCAAGGCGGGTGAATCACCTGAGGTCGGGAGTTCAAGACCAGCCTGACCAACATGGTGAA